ATGGCATCTTTGTGATCGATTTTCTCCTGCGTCACGCTTGCTTGTTTGCCGCGTTCGAGATTACACGCATGTGGAGTACAGACACGCGCACGATCAATCCCACACCCAAGGCGGGCCCTGACAGACAATCCGCCGTACAGCAGCGCGGGCTCCGTGAGGCAGTAGCACCGAGGGACGAGTTCGCCGCGGCTCATTCCTGCCGAACGGACCAATTAAGCGCTCAGTGATGACGGATCACCAATTCTCCAGGTAATGGCAGCGCCGGTTAAAAGCCGGGCCGAGCCATCGGCCACCGGCGAGGTCCGCCGGTAAGGGACGAGCGCGCCAGCGGGTCTCCCGGCCCCCGGCGTCGGTCCCGCACCGGAGGTCACACGAACCAGGACCGCCGAGCAGCGGCGGCGGACGAGACGAAGGCTGGCCGCCTCCCCTGGACAGGGTGACCTCCGGAACGGCCGATAATCACGCATTGAGCGGAGACGTGGCGTGGCGGCGGTGGTCACGGCTGGCTGGCCGTCACGGCTGCGGCACCGCGTCACTGCCGGGCCACCTCCGTCCCGCGTCACAGCCGGGCCACCTCCGTCACCGCGTCACTGCCGGTCCTCTGGCCCGACACCACCGTCGGCGGCGCCTACCGTGCACCGAGGACGGGCTCCCAGGCGTAGTAACACCGACGGGAGCACAAGTGTAACGGACTGGACGCCGGTTCTGGCGAGTTCTAGCACCCGCTCGGGAGGAGGCGTGTCAATTTGAACCCTCTCAGGATGTTTGCAGAATAACTTTCGAACGCCGCGGAGTAGCCGGGCCAATCTTTCAGCATCTATAGGCAATTGTACAGCCGATCGTTTGATATGCATAATTATACGTAAATTGCAAGGTCGCTTACCTATGACAGGTCAGTCAAACCGTGGCTGTCAGCGAAGGCTATTTCGAGGTGATCATTCAACCTGACGCGACAACGAAATGTAAGAGGAACCCATACGTCTTTCATGTATTTTCTTATGCAATGATACACTTCAATTAATGACTACGAGTTACTCCACTGACTTTGGGTAAGGTATAAATGTCAGACCGAGGCCACATCCACACTGTTTTTTTATTGGAAAACTTGCTACAAGGAGTATGATTACATTCTTACAATTTTTTGCTGTTAACGGTGTCGTCAGGATGCATCTTACATGCGCCTCTTAATGGTCAGAGGAAACCGCCGACCTAAGCTGACCCGATCGCTTATTGTTTAGAACACAACTTCTAGCGCAATCCTTGAAGCTTATTTAAGCTAAGAAATCACTACGTTCTCGTAGGTTTTGGTCAACTTGCCCTCTGGAAGTTGAATAAGGTCACTGACCTGAAATGATCAATAATGACCTTTTGTTTGTAAGGCTTATCTGGGTTAAAGTTAGTTTGATGAGCAGGTCTGAGGGTGCTTCTGATATCGATCTTCAGTTTGTCCTTGTTTGCCCTTATTGGACGCAAACGATCTAACCCGAGGACCTTAATATTTGACGCAAAGGAGTTTGCGTAGAGACCTACCTGCCCTTTGAGTTTTGCGGCTCTAGCTCACTCCGTTTTGGGATCTTAGCGGGGTTAAGCCTTCCTCCCCCACTCGAGTTCGTCGCATTCAACCGACCACCCGGGCGCCAGCTAAAGGACTCGTGCCAGCGCACATCGCGTCGACAGCGTCATTGGGACAGGGACAGTGCGCGGTCTGGGGAGGGACAGCGGTGATGGACGCCAGATGTGAGAAGAGAGCTTCCGAGAGGTTTGTCGGCGGTCAGGTTTCAAATGGTATTGTGATAGCTGATGTAAAGGAACGCGGAAGTATCTTCAGCACGATGGTCAAGAACATAAGGAAGACTTGTTTTGTTTGCCAGATTCAAAATGACCTTCATGATGGTTCTAGTTTCAGAGTACTTGTTAAGCAAAGCTTGTTGTCTGCACACTGAACCCATTGCTGAAGTGTGACCTTCCAGCTCAACAAACAATCTTGATCCACCATTTTGTTCGGAAAGACCCGCCAGTGCCCCCCCCCCCCCCTAGTGCCGCGGCCCGGCGGTCTCGGCGTGCCTTGACCCCTGCTGGCCAGGTGCCAGCTGAGCTTTCCTGTTTTTCGAAGCAAGCCTGGCGCACGCCCTGGGACTTACAAAGAATATCGCTGGAGAACGAGTGCCGCCAGATACCCAGCGCCGATGAATAATGCGTGAAAGGGGATGACAGAACTAGACTAAGTGTCATGACTGGATGACCGATATGAATGGGCTCTTCAAAGAAAATGTTGCATGCAACGCATTTCATCTAAGGCACGCAGTAGACAGGCTAAGGCAAACAGTAAAAAAACACTGCCCCTGCTGCAGTGATTTATTAGCATGTTACGGTGATCAAAACAAATTCTAACTGAATGCACCTTAAATCATCGGGTGAAATCAAGCAATACAGCCAGCCAACAAAACGTCGTTAGCTCCACTTCTTTCACTTTGATGGACGCGCTCACATTCGTAGAATGAACAGGTCTGAGGGTATGCACATGAGTAGCCGCCACTGACCATATCTGTGACTTTGTAAACACGGGCTTCACAACCAAACACGACAGGGCAACTACCTGTAATTTACGGTTGACCTACAGATGAAGGTGTCTGACAATTTAAATGAAGATATGCTGGTCTCAGCTAGCTCATTAGCATTTAGCCATGAAGCAATTAGACCTCCGTCTTAACAATGTTGAACATTCATTTCGGCCACGTGATGCTTGTTGCTGAGTGATCTTTTCGACGCTTGGATTTTTGCACACATTCTGTCGCTTTCACCAGGTGATTTTTAGCACAGCAAGACGATGCATGATTCCTTAGAAGTTTACGAAAAAGTGGGCTCTTTATTGTCGATAATGTGTGCATACTGTGAACATAAAAGCTCATACGTGTGTTATTTCAAATAGGTTGCAATTATTTCAGTTGAGTTCAGTACAACTGGTACTAAATTCAGCCCGACCCATTACGCGTTTTGCCACATTGCGGGACAGTAGTCACACCTGTGCACGAAATCAACACATTGACCCACAAAAGGCAGCCTGAGACGCGCGTCTCGGCAGCGGTGCTACAGTCCCGTCGTCTCCATCACTCGCCTCCTCCGACATCGGCAGGGTGCCTTCCCACCAGCGCACTACAGGACCGCACGGCCACCGGCCAGTGACAGCCGCCGCCACCGGAGGGGAGCGCGGGGGGGGGGGGGGGGGGGCAGCGACCTTGGCCGGCGCTCAGCCGCTGCAGTCGACGGCCGACCACTTGACCTTGAGCTGGCCGGCCAGGCTGAGGCCGTCGAAGCCGGCCACCCACTCGCCGATGGCGCGGCCCGTAAAGCCAGCGTGCTCCGGCGTCAGCGCCGGCACGTCCTGCGCCGCGAAGAAGCCCTCCGACTGCGCGGCCGCCTCCAGCTCCGCCTGGCGCCGCGGGGGAGCCTGGTGAGCGCGGGCAACAGGCGCCGGCGGGCGCCGTGCCAGCAACTAGCCTGAAGTCGGCGCTGACAGCAGGGTGACGCTGACTGTTGGCGCTACACGTCCGTTTGAGGGACCGAGCTCACGCACAGTCTCATTCTGACGTGCAGAAGTGTTGATTGCTGCGCCGATTCCACAGAAAACTGAGCGCTCGTCAATAGATTGGAAAGCTGAGCGAAGACAAAGTCCGATAGTGTCGTACAGGTGACCGCGTCCGTCAGCTCGACAGGTGGTAGCACTGGACTGACCTCGCTCTCCGTGAACCAGGTGGCGGCGGCGTCGGAGCTCCAGAGCACGGTGCCGGCCCGCGAGCCAGACACGTAGATCCGGCCGGTCGTCTCGTCAAAGCCGCGCACGCTCTCGATCACCTCTGGTAGTCGGCGCCACTGTACCGTGTCGTACGACACGAAACACACGCGACGACCCCTGGGGAACGAACAACAGCCAATGACGGCTTGGGGCAGCCGTTTTGCTTTTGAATGCTGTGAAATGTTCGTTCGTATCGAACTGCTCGTAGAGGCTGGATAACACTCCCCAAGACATCCGTTTAAAGGGTGCATATTGCAGACACGGCATCAAGCGTACATCCTCGTTGGAACGTTTTTTATGCGTCAACATATTTAAAACTAGCTAATGTAAGCAGCCACCTGGACTATGCAACGCTATGACTTAAATATCAAAAAATATATATAACATACGACGTGGCTGGCTATTCACAAACAAAAACCACATACCTGGCTTGTATAAAATCGCAGAAATAGATATACCCGTTTGTTGTATCAACAGCGAAATGCCTATTCCGACTAGCTGAAAAGGGCAAAACAGTACGTCAGTCAAGAACGTTGTGCACTCACTCGCAAAACGATACTCGCCAAGCAACCACCTACTTCCTGTTGCTTGTTAATTTGCAGCGTAAACGCTAGCTGCGGTTAATATTGTTCGAGGTCTCCTTTTCAGTGAATTAGACGATGCGGATTGAACTATTTCCTGGGTCTTTCATGAAACCCCTTGGTCCGCGCGAGCTCCGCGTAATGAGCAGAAAACTTGGGCGCCGGGCTCACGGTCGGTGCCGAGCGGTGTGTCCGGCTGGGCGTCGCAGCTGGCGCGCAGCAGGAAGTCGGAGGCCATCTGACACCCCAGGTACTCCAGCTGCAGCACACAGGCATGCCACGTCATGTCAGCGGCATATCAGCGGGAAGTCTGAGGCCATCTGACACCCCAGGTACTCCAGCTGCGGCACACAGGCATGCCAAGTCATGCCAGCGGCATGTCAGCGGGAAGTCTGAGGCCATCTGACACCCCAGGTACTCCAGCTGCGGCACACAGGCATGCCAAGCCATGCCAGCGGCATGTCAGCGTCAGGGCATGTCTGCCGGATCAAGGCCGGCACACGTCTCTGCTTGGGTCGCGCCCACACGTCCCATGCCAAAGCTGCGCTGTTCACTTACATCAAAATTAACGGCACGACACAGCCATATCCAATACATCGCGTGTGTTGTGTCAACACTCCGTCCATCCATGCCCGCAAATCGGAAAAGAACACCAAAATATGCGATACAAATTGTTTCTCACCCTTGTGCGGATATGGTGTGAGGGAAGGATTGCTTGATGAACACGTTTTAAATGTAGAAGCATCATAACTGTATAGTTATCGCATCTTGATGTGATATAATTCCTGAACTAAAAAACAAATGCTTTGGGCCGTACATCTCAGACGTGTTTTAGCGCACGTTTTCCGTTGCCATGTTTGTGTGCGATGGTCCCGTGTGTATTTATGTCTTACTACGCTGCGCGTAAGCACAATTTTTTGATCCAAATCTAAGATGAGTAAAAAAATCACTCAGAATTGCGTGTGGTGATAACTTCCTATCAAACAACTAAGGCGCTGTCGATCGATGGTTCCAACAACGGGCTTAGAGAGACTAACCAGCGAAGTGGCTTCGTCACATCACAAGAAAAAGGGACTGAAAATTCAGAGTTGCGGAGTTTTCACAATACCTTGCTTCTGGGGCGTCAATCACAGCATGAAATTGCCCTTAGTTAGTTAAAATTGCGTTGCAACCGTTCTCACGACACAGCACCGTCAATCACAGCCTGAAATTGTCCTAAGTCAGTTAAGATTGCGTTGCAATCGTTCTCCCATTAGAAATAAACGGGGATTTTCAGCCGCGCCGCCTCTTCGGAGGGAATATTGACTGCACTGTTGTCTCGGGCATGAAGTGCGCTGGTCAAACGACATGTCATGCAACCACAAAGTGTTCCTCAGTGTTCCTCACCAGCACAGCTTCTCCAGTGTTAAGTGGGCTACAGACAGCACAAGGCTGGTCGGTGTAGCTAGACCACCCAGCCCTGGCCACAGGCAGCCGAGCTAGAGTGTGAACACCGCTCGATCCTCAGGCCAGCTAGAGGATGAGGGTGAGCGCCGCTCGGTCCCCAGGCCAGCTAGAGCGTGAGCGCTGCTCGGTTCTCAGGACAGCTAGAGGGTGGGGGTGAGCACCGTTCGGTCCTCAGGCCAGCTAGAGGGGAGGGAGACCGCCGCTCGGTCCTCAGGCCAGCTAGAGGGTGAGGGTGAGCGCCGCTCGGTCCCCAGCGCGCGAGCCCCGGGATTGCAGGCGCGCCCAACACAGCAGGGGTTCAGACCACCTGTCGTCCTCAATGCCGGCGCCAGCGCACCTGTACGCCGATGTACTGATCGTCCCCCGCCTCTGCTGACTCGATGAGGAAGCGGACATAGCGTGTCTCGACGGCCGTGGTCAGCTTGTGAACCGCCACGCCGTCGCTGTACAGATCACCCGCCCAGTTGAGTGTCGTCACCTGCCGGTGGAGGGGGGGGGGGGGGGGGGGCGGCCGTCACTCCTGCCGGTTTCGATCACACCAGGGACCAGTGTGGGGCCGGTGTGGCGCGCGATGGTAACGAGCACCAGCGTTATGAGCTTGTGGCTGCACCACAGCTCTTCAGAAATCTGCGGAAAATTAGACCACCGCGGTTGTTTAAGTGGGCGGCGCCACACAACAATGCATAATCAGAAAGAGGTAATCATTGATGGGATGACTGGGCCCCATCGTCACAGCGCCATTCTAGCGCACCATGGCCGGAAGCGAAACATGGCCCCATTCATGGCCAACAGTGCGGCACTCCGCCAGTCACAGGAAAAACGGCAATCACAATCACGCGATTCTGTACTCCCTCCTCTCCGCCCACTGCCGCCACTCTTTCCCCTACTCTGCTTCTGACTCTTTTTTCAAGCCCACGCTTAGGCTTCTATGACGATCTCTCTCTCCCCCTCTCTCTCTCCGCAGTCCACGTTCCCCTCTCTCCGCGTCTCCCTTGCCCCCTCTTCCCCTGCCCTCCCCCAGGCTGACCGGCGTGACGTCCTCGAACACGACCCCAGTGAGGCTCTCCTGTAGGCGGAACCGGTTGACGCGGCGTGTACCGGGGGGCCGAGCCACCAGCACGCCCGTGATGCGCGTCAGGTTGCCGAAGTCCACCTGATGCCAGTGGCGGAACGGGGCGCTGCGCTGCTCCGGTGACCAGCCTGCCAGGTATCGCGCGCGCACGTGAGGCGTCGCTGGTGCCAGCCGAGGCGCATCACACCAGAACTGGACCCGGGGTGGGGATTAGCAAGCCAGGAGGAAGGCTGTAAGAGGGTAGGGATGACCACATCATGAGGGAATGCCATGGATAGTTGTTGATTTTGAGTCACGCCAATTCGTTTCAGCGAATGTTTGCATATAAAATATTGATTTTGCTGGTGTGTCGACAACGCTGTTTGATGCGACTCACCACATGGCAGAGTTTGATCGTGCCTGTCAGGTAATATTTCAAGATGACACCTCGCCAAGGACAGCAGTTTGCTATTCCGAAAGCGATATGCTGTTTGCAGACATGACTGTAACACTGCTCCGCCCTACCTGCAGTACCGGCACAGGGCAGCTTATCATCCTCTCCAGCGTCTGGCCAAGTATTGTTCTGAGTCATCTGCCCTCTGTAAAGGAATCCGAGCGGTTACTCAGCATTAATCTAGCCGATTATTCTATAACCAGACTATGACCCCATCATGGAGGCATCAATAGACAGCACAAAGGTGCGAAACGCGTGCCGTCGCCCAGGACATGGCGGTCTGTATGTGCGGACTGACGAGAGCCACCGGACGCCCGTTTGCATCTTTGCCGTCTGAACGCCAGAGACGCGGGCTGGTCAGCTTAAACTCTCCAGGGAGTCTCTCCAGCGAGGTGGGCCCGCGCGCTGAAGAACGGACAGCAGACGTTTGGTAGTCGTGGTCCTTGCAGCCGTAACGTCGGTAGGTTACGGTCAGGCAGATACTCTCTGAGCGAGTGCAGCGTGTTGGCAGCATAGCTGACGTACTGGGCGGCGGTGTCGTCGGCAGCACAGGGCTGCATGCGCGCCTGCTGCGGGCCGCGACCGTCGTCGGCGGCGGAGGAGGCCGACAGCTGGCAGTCCTGGATCACGCCAGAGGTCAGGCCCAGCCGGAAAAAACATTCTGCGGGCAGCGACCGACGTCTGGTGACACAGTGACCAAGCGCAGGCCAGCACAGAGCAGTGGCAGTGGGAGAGGCCTGCCCTTGAAATGAAAGAGCAGCTGGACCACCCAGACAAAAAGGCGTGGCACGTGAATTACGCTGTTCACCAGGGCGGATCGCGAATTTCCGTTTTAGGGCGCTGCTGAATGACTAACAAGCGTACAGGTGATTCCTGTGCGCCACGATTGAAAAAGCAATTTCACGCGGTGCGACCGATGTACTTAAGAAAAGCAGATATGGAACACTAGGGCCATGACCGTCGTGATGCGTGGGATACGTGGATCATTAATGTCGTAACCAAAAGGCCAACAACATGTAAAATAGGTAGTAAAGGTGGTAATCTAGCGTGTCATCAACAATGCTTTATAGGCGTTTGCCTTCGGTACAGCGGCTACACCACGTCGAAAGGAGCAATTGCAGCTCTCACAAGAGGGAGTAATTATTTTGGGCACATAATTATTTCTTCAACGCATCAGGGCTTTAGGACATCACCTTCACCGTGCCCCGTCACCGGGTTTCCCTGTAGTTTGTTCATCTGTTTGCAATATAGGAAGTCCATTAAATTTAACCAACCCGAAGTGAGTCAATCACACTCGTTGCAAGTGTGAGGAGTCAAGGGCGTAGCCTCGCCAACTGAGTTGGTGGCAGTGGTGGTGGTGGGGAGATAGTGAAAATAGACTCAACTTAACGCCCAAAATAACTTACGCCCATAACAAATCTTCTCCGGATTCGGTTCACTTCTTCTCGGAGTGTATGTGGGTGGGGGGGGGGGGGGGGGGGGAGAGAAGGGGATTGACAGGGTAGCTACCTCTCGGTTGGGGGGGGGGGAGGGGACGCCGACCCCCAGATTTCAAGTTAGGCGGGGGGGGGGGGGTCGAGCTGTCCGCAGTGCCCCCGGTTCACTTCTTCTCGGAGTGTATGTGGGTGGGGGGGGGGGGGAGAAGGGGATTGACAGGGGTAGCTACCTCTCGGTTGGGGGGGGGGGGGAGGGGACGCCGACCCCCAGATTTCAAGTTAGGCGGGGGGGGGGGGGGGTCGAGCTGTCCGCAGTGCCCCCGGTTCCCGCGTGCTTGACAACACCTCTGGTTGTAAGAGGTTTATCAAACAATTGTTGGAATTTTGAACAATCCACATGGCTACCATGAACCTGCACCAGCATGAAAGAATAATGTATCGTTCTTGGCATCAGGGGGGAGATGCAGCAGCAATAAAAACGTTTAAAAGCTGGCGATGGATGTGGAGATGCCATTTAACCGCCAAGTGGACAGGGTGGTGATTGCAAAACGGATTGACAAGGCCTTCAGCCAGTATACAACACTAGGAAACGAAAAGTCCTCCGGGCCGGATTTGAACCAGCGACCTATGGATGTCCGTTGGGAACCACTACAGTCCACCGCTCTACCAACTGAGCTACCAGAGGAACTGACAGCGTGGGATTCTAACGTTAAATCAAAACAAGTTTCACGATGCCTGAAACGGTGAATCATCTACAGATTCTATTGTATTTTGGTTGTATATACTGAGTTCTTGTTCATTCCTTCTTCCCCATTTTAGCTCTACCACCTCAAAATGTGTTTCTGTGTGAGACTGATGAACTTGAACGTTTAACGCACCGAACATTTACCCATCTTGAAATCTCATGAATTTGATTAGCTATTTCCCACACCGCCCGTCAACCTACCTTCACTGTTCACGTCGAAGGTGATGTAGGTGGGAGGTGCTACCGTATACCATGTAACACCCTCGGGTGGGTACATGCCAGTCGGCGTCCCCGGAACACCGTATCTGTGGACAGATGAAATTATCTAAGTGAATAATGAAACGCGAAGAGTGCTTTGTTGTCATTTATCGTGCCTTGCTGGCTTTCAACTACCTAGTGAGCATTCGTCATGGTGTGAGCGTGAATTCATTGCAGCAGGTGAACATGCATTACATAGTCCGATTACTGAATATATTTTGGTAGAAAGATCCCGTTCTTCGGATGAACAATTGCTGCGGAACTAGGGCTTTTTATCGTGTAAGCAACACCATATCCTGCATTTATAAAGCCTGCTGATGAATAAACCACGCAAACGCCAGCGCACGGATACACTAGCGCCACCTTTACCGTCTGAACATGGTGGCCTTGAGCGTGATCGGTGTAGTGGCGCTGCTGTAGCCAGCGCCGAATCCGCGCAAGTTGTTGGGATCGACGGTGAGCATGAGCGACACGTGCACCTCCTGTGTGGTCAGCACCAGCGGCCAGCTCAGATCCAGTGCGTGTCGGCGCTGCACCACCGTAGGCTCGGTGCTGAAGTTGGTCCACGTGATTGATTCGAAGGCGATGAACGGCGGCAGCGCCATCGAGACGGTGGCGTTGACGGCGTCGGCCGTTGAGGTCTGCTTGTGGCGCAGCACCACGTCCACAGGCACCTGCCAGCTGGCGAAAGAAGGCTAGCTGGTCACTGGAAAGCCTGTGTCAGACGCGATAGAAAGTCGGAGCGCTTCAGTCACGGCGCGTCGGTGCGCGGAGACCCTTTACGGGCGGGGCGTGAGGCTGCCCAGGCGTGTGGACCTTTGCGAACTGTGGCCCAGAGTGCATAAATTCAAAAAAGTATCTGCAAATGCTTGGAAAACTCACACTTAGATTTCAAATTCGCGAAGCAAACTTACCGAAGGCAGGTGCACCAGCCTCATTTTTGTCCTAAAAAAATACCACTAACCCCCTCCCCTCGAGATATTCGTAATGCTCTGTTAACATGCAGCTACTTCTTTAGCGTGATGCACATATTCATGGCAAGCGTCTAAAACCGGACATCAAGCACTGCAACACCCAAGGACCCAGCCACATACAAGCGCTGATAAGGGGTGTCGTTTACGGTCCACGCAGTCAACTCCATGTCGGGCACCTCCGTTCCCAGGCGTTTCAGCATAATCTCTTGAGTGGTTGCCATGGTGAGTGTGCCATACTTGGCCTGCAAGAAAGGCACGAGGGCGTAAGAGGCAGATAATTGGTTGATGGTTGCTTCTGTCAGTGTCGGCCATTTTCATATGGGACGTAATATTAGCAGAGCGGAATCTTGAATTCATGATCATTTATTCACCAGCGGACAGGAGAGCACCAGGCGAAGCGCTCATGTCAAGTCAGTGAACGAAAACAGAACGAGTCCATGATGCAATATCAACCAGCCACAAAGAAGGACGCATCATGAATTCGCGATCCTGCAGCTAATAAAATGCTGCCGACTGCATGGCTATTTCCGGCAGTACAGAGACAGCCATCAAAATTTGCCGCCCCAACAGATGATGATCATGTCTGTTGACCAGCGACACAGTACGTCACTGCTCAACAGATCAAGTCCCCCGTGCCGGTAAAGCGGCCCCTTCAGGATGATCTGTCTCCGTTTGCAATCAGCGGCCTGAACAGCCACCCACGCCCACGACCAGACGTCATCGAAGCCTCTGGAAATCAGGGCTGGCTAAAGACATAGGTGCCGGCTCTGTGGTGTATGGCTGTGTATGGTGTAATGACTTCCACCATAGGGCAGTAAAAAGTCAACGAGCCAAAGATTCAGCAGAAGCCCTGTAGCGTGCCAACAACGGTGCGGCGTTCATTGGCTCCTTGATTGGCTCCACATTCTACCAAAGGTCTTTGATTGCCTCTCAGTTCGCCGAAGACCTTTGATTTGCGCCAAATGTTACCAAAGGTCTCAACTCACAAGAAAATTAGGTGACAGCTTACGGCCGAGCTCGCAGACGCATGTCTGACCTCGAAATTCACGGGAAGCAGTGTCTGGTGGGTGGCGCGTGGGTGGTCGGTGAAGCGGAACTCGGCCTCGAATTGCACCATGTCGTCCGTCTCCACCCAGTCCTGCACCGTCTCGCGGCTCGCCGTCATGCCTGCCGCCAGAAAAGGGCTCTCAGCACGCCGCGCATGGACTCAGATGCAAATATACGCATGTGCACTGGTCTGTTCTATTGGCTGCAACAGGTACGGCTTCAGGTAGTTATTGACGTAGACACGGACACAAATTGGGCCGCATGTACACAATTAAAACACGTCACGCATTGGTGCCGATAAACACGGGTTGATTTCAGATTGCACCCGCATCGAAGACGGGCAGAGGTAGAAGTATTGGCACAAGTTACCATGTCTTTATGCACAGCTGTGATGAAAACATTATCCTCGGTCCAAAGTTAACCGGTTGTCTGTCGGGCGATTGATGGCATGCATATCGCAAATTATGTATGTAGTTGGTCAACCTACTTGAACAGTGTTTCATGACACTTTTGAAAAGGATCGAATGGCGCAGACGTCAGCCCCACATGAGCCTCCCGCCCCTGGCCGAGCCGGCGGAGACGACGGCAAGCTCCGGCCGAGGACCGCTCGTGCCTGTGTTGGTGACGTAGCCCAGGTCCAGGGAGACCACGTCGTACTGGGTGTTGCTGAGCGTCGTGCTGACCACGATGGTGTCGTTCAGGTCTGTGATTCCGAAGCAGGGCACGTTGCGTCCTCGGGCCAGCACCCTGTGGCGGTGGGAGAGGTCAGCGTGTGTGGAGGACGCGTCGGGCAATGGGCACGGGGCGGCGGGTTGTTGCGGCCAATCGACCCCAGCTGCTGAGAGGGAAAGCAAGGGTGCTGGAATGAGCACGACCAATGATGGTATGAGATGCCCCCGAGAAACAGCAAAAAAAGCGCCCGCTAGGTGTTGCATACACATAGATATTGCGGAGCACAGAAAAGTGGCCTTCCATATTTCTGAATGCAGCTCATCCCTGATGGCTGACCAAATTATAAACATAGTGGTATAGTGTATCAGCAAGCATTTAAGAACATGCACTGGGTGGCCACCAACAGTCACTGCTAACAGCTGGCCGGATGGATAACCGCAGCTCAGGAATGCAACAAATATCTGTGCTCGTGAAAGTGACATCCATCTACAGCATGACCAATATTCATGATAAATGCTATCAATATAAATTTTCACGACACAAATCAGCCCAAACTGCAGCTTATTGCTACACCTGGTGGTCCAGCGAACCGGGTCCAGCTCCATCCCTTCTTGTACTGATCTCTGTTATTCATGCCCTTACTCATTAACACAGAATCATATCACCAAAGCTTGTGGTCGAGCTAGTATTCATCTGAGGCCCTGGGAATTTTTACAGTCTTTGCACATTTCAGTTCCTGGTCATCAAACTGAGGCAGACTAAGGCTGGTCATCTGAGCCCCGGATTGTCTGTGGCCCTGATCGTCAAAGTTCTTGGCCATCCGAGCCCTTCGTCATCTAATCCTTTGGTGACATAAGCCCATGGTCGCGTGAAAACCTCATCGTCTGAGCCCACGGTCGTGTAAAAACCTCGTCATCTGAGCCCACGGTCGTGTGAAAACCTCGTCGTCTGAGCCCACGGTCGTGTGAAAACCTCGTCATCTGAACCCCTCGTCGCATGAACTGTGTTCATCTGATACCCCAGTTATCAAAGGCCACGACTATTTGAGCCCAGCGTCATCTGAGTCCATGTCATTTGAGCTCCTTGTCATCTCAACCCTCTAGTCACCTGAGTCTCACACCATCTTATTTCCTATCCATCTGAAACCACTGGCCATCTCAGTCCCTTACAATCTGGGCGCACTGGTCATCTGAGCCCCTTGTCATCTGAGCCCGCTAGTCATCTGAGCCCCTTGTCATCTGAGCCCGCTAGTCATCTGAGCCCCTTGTCATCTGAGCCCGCTAGTCATCTGAGCCCCTTGTCATCTGAGCCCGCTAGTCATCTGAGCCCCTTGTCATCTGAGCCCGCTAGTCATCTGAGCCCCTTGTCATCTGAGCCCGCTAGTCATCTGAGCCCCTTGTCATCTGAGCCCGCTAGTCATCTGAGCCCCTTGTCATCTGAGCCCGCTAGTCATCTGAGCCCCTTGTCATCTGAGCCCGCTAGTCATCTGAGCCCCTTGTCATCTGAGCCCGCCAGCCATCTGAGTCCCCTGCCATCTGAGCGCCTGTTGATCGGAGCGGACTGACCTGATGTTGCCCGTGGGCACAATGGCGGCACGACCGTCCTCAGTGAAGCCAGACCACTTCAGACTGGCCACTCCCACCCCGGACAGCGGCAGACTGATGTTGAACTTGAGCCACGACGTCTCCGTCATGGTGATCAGCTCGTCATCGGAGGACATGAACTTGATCATGCTCATTTCGCCCTGCAAGAGAGAGAAAGAGAGAGAGGGAGCTGGATCAGGTGGAGCCAGGCCTCATGAGGAAGAAACAGCTGACAGCAGCGCCTAATTATTGGGATTTACTGAGACCCGATTCAATCAAGAACATAGAATGAGCGTTGCTCGGCTTTATCACAGAAGCCAGCGTGTAATGGTGTGGTACTGATACTCATGCATTATTCTCTATTTGATGCTGTTTCTGAGTAACAACCACCAGGATTTTCGACGTGTATGCTGCTCTGGGAATCACGATTATCAGAACCACACTATTTACCAGAGCTGCGTACACGTTAATACATTCTGCCACCAGACTAGAGCTGCATACGCGGTGATAGATTCTGGGGATCATCACGAAAAAGTATCATCACATAGTTCACATAGTTTTAAACATGCTGCACAGCTACTGTTCGGGCTGACGGGGTCTGAACAGCCGCAGGGAAGGCGTATGGTATTGCATTCTTCGGTGTAGAGAAGAGCAAGTTTTTTAAACAGCAAACAACGACAAAGCCAAGATCAGCGCCGAAGCTGATGCCGCTAGCGGCACGCGGCGGCTGAGCCTGGAGAACCATCTGTTACGTGCGACGGGCCGGGGGCTGGCCGCCTGGCCGGCAGCCGCCAACCGCCGTCCAATCCCGTGCGGCCCACCAATCGGGGGTACGGATGGAGAGCAGCGATAGCAAAACCAGCGACAGCAAGAGCAGCGCCAGATGGAACAGCAACTAGGGCAGCAACAACAGCAAGAACAAAGTCAAAACGTTCCAGTATCCAGGGCCACTGATCCACGATACGGCCTCCATCAATAGATGCACTCCTGTGATCCCTCCCAGCGAGCTCGCTACATCTACAGGTCTGCGGACTTCAGTGTCTAAAGGTCGCAAGCTTGTTTTCTCTATGTTTATAAGAACCGCGATGTCGCAGCCTTTCTCGAGCGCTGGGAGGTGAGGCGTGACATGTCAACGCCTTACTATCTTCAATCCAATGGTCACACCGAAGCAGCCGTCAGGGCAGCGAAAGAGCTCAGAACTCCTGAAGCATGCACACCAGCGTAACGGCAGCTTCATTCGCGCACTGGTCCCTTGCAGATCGGTGCCAGCGTCCACACGCGGCTGCACTGCTTGACGGCTCAACTGCAGCCCCCTGGCCGCGATCCCGCACAGCATGCGGACGGTGTAGCTCCCCCCCCCCCGCGCCGGCCCATCCCCGTCCGTCGGGTCGGACCATCCCCGTCCGTCGGGTGGGACCATCCCCGTCCGTCGGGTCGGACCAGCCCCGTCCGTCGGGTGGGACCATCCCCGTCCGTCGGGTCGAACCAGCCCCGTCCGTCGGGTGGGACCAGCCCCGTCCGTCGGGTGGGACCATCCCCGTCCGTCGGGTGGGACCAGCCCCGTCCGTCGGGTGGGACCAGCCCCGTCCGTCGGGTGGGACCAGCCCCGTCCGTCGGGTCGGACCATCCCCGTCCGTCGGGTCGGACCATCCCCGTTCGTCGGGTGGGACCATCCCCGTCCGTCGGGTCGAACCACCGCCCGTCGGGTCGGCCCAGCCCCGAGCGTCGTGTCGGCCCAGCCATGTCCATCGGGTCGGCCCAGTCCCGTTCGTCGGGTAGGACTAGACCCGTCCTCCGGGTCGACTGCACTGACCGGCGTACTGGCGCCCGTGAACTCCTCCGACGCCACCGTAAATGTGACGATCACTGGTGGGTGACTGGTGTCTGGCTCCGCCGCCGACACCACCGCTTCCGACGACGACTCCCAGCTGCCCGTGGTGTAGTAGGAGGAGCCGTTATCTGCCGCCGCCGCCAAGTCTGCGTCCGCGCCTAGAGCAAACGACAGGGCGGCTCAGCCTTGCCCTGCTGCTCCCGGGAAGCGCACGGCTCGTTGACAGGCACAGTGAAGGCGGTCGAAGTGATTAATGAAATGATATGGTGTCAAATGGCGCGCAGATACCGTCCGGCCGTAGACCGGTAATGCATGACATTAGGTGGCAAAGGCCAGACCAGTCAAAAGGCTTATTCTAACCACGGCGCCAGCGCTCTGCATTGCGGTTGCAGTAAGAGCGAGTTCAAGGTGCTCGCCGCTTAATAACTAAGACGAGCATGTTTTATCTAACAAACAGGATGTCGTGTGAGCGAGAGGCACCAGCTCAATCGGATATGGTGGCACATCAGGTTGGTGGTCAGATGGTTTTGTGAACTTTGTAATGATATTTGCATGTATATGTTACGCATATCTAAGACATAATGCCTGAAAAATTTTGAGCCTTAAAATCTTCCAATCACCACCCTCTCAATTAGTGAGGAATTACTTTTACCTAATCGTGGGCCATTCAATTTTGCTCGCAACTGTTCTTGGTCACCTGGAAGCCCAAAGATGTCCAATTTTCTCGCGTTTTGTGCCAAAAAACCTGCATCTGTTCGGCCGGCTTTGGCCTTTTTCGGAGCCTATGGATCCCTTCGGAGCCCAAAGAGGGGTATGACCCCATTGCCCCCTCAGGATCCGCCCCTGTCCAACAGTGTCTATTGTACTGCCATCAGATGTCACAGCTGTTGTGGCAGCTACTACTGCCACTGATAAACAGCTGCCATTGTCTCCATTGTACTCTCAATCTCCATCTCCATAGTCAGCAATGGAGTGTATCTGCAATGAATGAGCAGCAAGATCTTTGAGGAATGTTCGCCATTATCCATGCGTTATCCCTAAGCCAAATGCAGAACAAATGAATCAAGGCCCCTCGCCGCGTTGTCTGGGCTCGTCGCAGCTGTGGTGGAGCGCCGCTGACGAGACGGAATTGATGTCATGAGTCTACATACACGGGATCCCGTTGGATTATAGCGACTTGAATAGTGCATTATCAGCGCGTGATATCAAACACTTATGTGACTTGTTAGAAAATCAAGTCGGTAATGGAGTGTTCTGAACAAATAGACCTGCCGCGGTTGAATGAAACCAACATAAACGACGCTGAACCGAACTTAAATACTTAAATAGTGATGAGCATGGTTCCTTATAAAAATATTCCTGGAAAATCCTATTACGAATAGGAAACATGAGCACTTGGCAAAACAAAACAAAATGATGCTGCAGTCCGATGAAGACACGATCAATCTATACAAGACCCGGGGAAGGTAAAGTTGGATTCGCTAAAAAGTAGCACACCAATTATGCGTGTTTCCGTGCGTCTCATCGAGGCCTTGATTCGTGTGGGATGATCTTTCAGTCTGCCTTCACAAAGAAAGCTCTGAAAATAATCGCCGGCTATTTCCATTCGCTTCCGTATTAACCCGGCTAAGATATTGATCATCGCCTTACCGACTGTCATGATTTCCGTAGTGACCGCCTCATCAATGGTGGCGCTAGTGTCGCCGGCCAGTCTGCCGAACGCGCCGACCGTGTCATCCATGACCACGGAAACGCCCACGCTGAAGGTCTCGCCGGCGGCCAGCTGGTTTCGCGGCCGCAGTCCCACCGTGATGTTTACCAGGTTACTGGTGTTGTGCCGCGGGATGAGAGGCACCGAGCACAGTCGCCCCATGTCGAAGGTCAGCACGTCCGGCCCCAGCAGTGACGGGCTGCCGGAGACGCAGTGACGTCACCAGCCAAGCCAAGCCAATCGTAGGTACTGGCTGCCGGGGATGCAGTGACGTCATTAGCCGAGTCAAGATAATCAAAGGGCCGGCTGCCGGGGACGCGGCGACATCACCAACCGAGCCAAGCCAGTTGAAGGGGCCGGCCGAAGGGAACGCAGTGACGTCACCAGCCGAGCCAGGCCAATCCAAGGGACCAGCTGCCAGGGACGCAGTGACGTTAACAGCCGAGCCAAGCCAAGCCAATCCAAGGGCCGGCGCAGTCGCTGATGCATCAGCCTGGCATCAGATAGATGATCGCACTAAAGCAAAGCTGACTAAACACGCAATGAAGTGCGCGAGATGCTGTGGTGCGTTTACATTTCAGTCGGGGTCAAAATTTCTGTGAAAAAAACAGAGCCGTTAGGTCTGTTGCTTCCACCGAAGAGCGTCAACGTTGACGAAAAAGCCAGTACCGTTTGACTGTACTCCACAACGTCTGGGAATCTGCGCCAGTGCCGTTGCAAGTGTCTGTTTGTGGCGAGGCGCGACGGCAAGTGCAGCGGCATATGCGACGCCAAGTTCAGATGGTGATCAAACGAAGTCACCGGCACTCGAGGGAGCGTCACTCCTCTAATATATATGAGGGGCTTGGTGCTCCAAGAGAATGTGAAACGAAATTTGTTTGCCCTCGCTGGATCATGTGGCCCTCGTAGGCTTTTCTCTACCTTTTGCCCCCAGTATCCCAAGAGTGAGACGCTGTGATCTTTAGTAGCCGAACTTACACTCTGCCCACACTTCCTGTGAGAATAAGATGATCCTGCCATGGGTGATTGATTATAGGCGATTGATGGATGATGCCCGTTTCGTTTAGGGAGACCAATCTCATCTCATGTTCAAGAGGTCGATGAACAATGTTTGCGGCGCAGCATGTATTCTACAGCACAGCACAGTGTTAGTTTCCGTATCTTATCACGCTACTGGATAACGTCATTTCTTGCAATACTTTACGATTGCATTATGCAGGGTCAAGCCGGCTCAAATAAGAACAACGAGGAAATATCTGAGAAAAAATATTTGAAGCTTTAACGATCCGGTGTAACAGACCCCAGGTCACCACAAACGATTTTTGGCGTGGTTTAACGAGCGCTATCCCACGTCCTTGTCTCGCTGCCGGGCCGTGCTTACGTCTTGAGGTGGCGGGTAGGCACCTCTACACACAGGGCTTACCAGTATGACCCCGTCTGACCCGCCGCAGGCCCAGTCCTCGTGCCTGCGTTACTTTCGGTGCATGGTCGGGGAGCTGAGAGGCACGGACATTCCCTTTCGGCGTATCGTCGGGGAGCTGAGAGGCATGGACACTCCCCCCCCCCCCCGTCCAGCTTGTCATGGCGTGCGCAATTCCGAGAGAAGACCTAAACTCGTTTTCTTCACCCATTGACCTGGTGATGAATGTACATACCTTCCGTCAATGCATGACGACGCCGATGCGATGCAACTATACGCGAACTTCCCGATGTGGCCCCTCGCGCGGCTTGAGCGTGTTTGGTTCTTCAGGTAGCGGCGGAGAGAGGGCTAAGAAGCCTCGTCCTCCGACGCGAGGAGAGAAGACCATCCGTCCAGCCCGGGCCAAACGACATCTCACCTGCTCTTGGAGATCACTGACTCCAGGCCGAACGTGTTGACGCATGGTGAGTTTTCCCCCACGAACGTGACGTATGCGCAGCAGGCGTCGTATTTGGCCTCGGATTCTGCGGGCTCCAGGAGGAGCTTCACGGTGCGCTCAAAGTACTCTTCCATGTCCAGCATGACCACCAGCTTCTTCATGACGCCAGGATAGACGGACCAGCCGTCAGCGCTGTCTGGGAGGAGATGTCAGCGATCAGACAACGACAGGTCGCGTCCAGCTTGTTTCAAGCCCGCTTGATCAGACAGCGACAGACATTCCTGTTACGCAGCGACGTCAGGCAGCACGGTGTTTGAGAACCGGAGGCAGGTCACCACAGCATCCCCGAATCGCTTCTCGCTCTGCCCCCTCCCGCGACACCGGCCATCGGCCACCGGCGGCGACTCCAACCCCGCCGATTACCGACAGTGAAGGTGAGACTGGGCGGCCGCTGCGCAGGCGCCGCCGCCTCCGCGTTGGTCACCGGCACTTGGGTGGTCTCGTCAAAGATGGTATTGCTGCTCCCCTCTACCAGCCGGATGCGGAAGGAGGCGGCACTCTCGGGCATCACCATCGCCACCGATGTCACCACCGTGTCGGCGTCCACCATCTCGTCGTCGTAGAAGGAGGTTGAGTCGAGGCCTGTCGCGGCCGGTGGCGGCGAATTAGAGCCGAGTGCCACGATACCGGTGATAACAGTGAAAACAGGTGACAACAGGTGAAAATGAGCGATCAGCTGACGACGAGACCTCACCCCAGCATATTTCAAGCACACGTGAGATCTGATAGTGGTATTCCACCGCAGACAGAAGCGAGGATGCTGCTGCTGATGTCAAATGGCACAGCCACCACCAGCCTGGCCCTGGTCGCTGCCGTCGCCTGTCATACTATTGTTACAGCCATCGCCGCTGTCGTCGCGGTCGTCGTCGCCAACACCGGGTGCCTCGTCGCTCACCGGCGTTGGCGTAGCGCGTGAGGTAGGTGATCATGGTGTGCACACCCCTCTCCGACTTCTCCTGGGTTGCGTAGTCGGCCGTGGGGCTGTCGTAGCTCTTGTAGTGAATGAGCCGGCGGTACGCGGCGTCCTGGTGACACACGTAGTTGGCGCCCACGTGCGAGACGCGCACGTCGCAGAGTTTGATCTGGTTGTCCTCGTCGGGTGCCGTGATGTGCCACTGGTGATCTGACATGGAGCCGGGCGTCATCTGTCGGAGCGGCGCGACGCTGACAAGCGGGCTAGGCTGACAGCTCACAGCTCACAGCCGAGCCCGGCCGTCACAGGTCAGAGGTCGGCCTCAGGGCCCCGGCACAGCACGGCCGCCACAAGTGGACCTCACGGCCCCGCCACAGCAAGGCTCACAGTCACAGGTCAGAGGTCAGCTTCAGGGCCCCGGCACAGCACGGCCGCCGCAAATGAATCTCATGGCCCCGGCACAGCAAGTCTCACAGCCGGCACTTCGGCCCCAGATCAAGGCTGCAAGTTAGAAAGACGTGTTGATTGGGGTTGCGCCGGTGCATACGACTATTGAGAACGGATCAGTGGTAGTCTGTCTTCTCGACAACCGTGAAAGTTGGACCAGCGCTATGCAAAGCAAATCACAATCGCACCTATTGTTTTCAGATTAGTGTGCTACAGGCACACCGCTACCGTTAATGCAGGTTTAGTTAATCTGTTCATTGAACGTCTTTCTGCTGAGTTTTATTTTGGCAGTTGGCTGGTTCTCTTGCGACAGAGTCGTATTGTTCACCAATGCCGGGACATCATCCCGACTAAAGCACCACTCAGCTGAAGCAGGTGTACTGATTTCACCTTCGCTTACCTTGAAACAAAGGTCGACGAGCACTGTTTGGCCGGGACGGACCGGGGTCGGTGTTCGAATCTGAAGCCACGCCTTTTTGGGAGCACCGCTGGGGATGGTGTTCAGGCCAGACTTGCTGTTCGAAGTGGGATATTGAAGAGAAGATGCGAAGATACTTTGACCCTCCTCACTTTCCACGAAGACGTTAAAATAGAATGCTGACGAGGAAAAAGCAGCTTATATCTCCGCATTCCTCTCCGCGAAAGCGCTAAGAAATAATGCTGATAGAACACAACTGAGTTTATAACTATGTGCAGCGGACTATATAGGCCTTGTTCCTCTGTGACCATAGATGGCATGCGGTCGCAGGTCCGGCTCTCTGCTAACGAATTCAAAAACGTACCATTCCCACAAAATGTGAGTCACATTGACAATGAGATGGGATGGGGGGGGGGGGACTCAGATTATATAAGCCATTGGATGCGTTTTCCGCCACAGTGCACTGGAGACTTATTCGACGTTTCTAAATGTGGTCTGGCCACATACTTAAGTGTGTTACTCACGATTGGGCGCCAAGACTTCTGAAAATGTGTTGTCGGGACCAAAATGCGCGACATGTTGGAATACGAAGTTGGCCGTGATGAAGTTCTGTTCGGCTCCAGCCATTGGCTCGACGGGCAGGGCACACACCGGTCCCAGGGCGATCTGGGCCGTGTCGGGCATACTGTGCGCCCGGGACCTGCCGGCAGACAATAAGCCCAGTGTATCGACGACATGCCGCCGTTGACGACTATACCGGTGGGAGGGTGTCCCCGTGCGGGTGGTCATGCCAGGGTAATGGAGGAGGAGGGAGGGGGGGGGGGGGGGGCTGTGCTGGTGAGGACGATCCGTGAGTTTTTCATTCGCTAGACACATATCATGTATTCGTTCAAATGAGACATCCTTCTTGGCAGCATGTCTGCATGCCCGCAACGGCGCATTGTACAAAAACATTAATGAATTTATCGCGGTGCGATTAAGCGTCTCTGGAGCCCTGCCGCCAGTAGCAGCTGCACACCACGCAGTGCACCTCTGTAAACTGACCATCGTTGTATGGTCAGTGCTGCCCTACCAACCTCGACACTTTGCATATAGCAGACCATCGCGACAGGTCTTCAGAACAGATAGAACACATATTGCCGACTGACAATAACGTCGCGCCCACATCCCGCCCAGGGCGTGTACGTGTTGAACTAGAAGTCCCCAGACTGGAGCTATCTCACGGCGCCTGACCGTCTTCCGGCGCACTCACCCCTTCATCTCGAGCAGGGCCGTGTGGTTGTTGTAACCGTAGCGCGTGCAGGGCAGACTGGCGCCGACCGCGAGCAGGCGCGCCCGGCAGACGCGGATCTGAGGCCCCGAAACCGTCTGCGGCTGCGCCACCAGCCGCAGGTCCCGATAGTTGACGCCCGGTGGCGTGAAGATCGTCATGTTGAAGCCGATGACGCCGCCCGGATATAGGGTATTGGACGTGGAGACCCTGCGTTAGTAAGACATGCGGTCATCCATGAGGGCACTGGCCGGAGTCCGCCCGGATATAGGGTGTTGGACGTGGAGACCCTGCGTTAGTAAGGCATGCGGTCACCCATGAGGGCACTGGCCGGAGTCCGCCCGGATATAGGGTGTTGGACGTGGAGACCCTGCGTTAGTAAGGCATGCGGTCACCCATGAGGGCACTGGCCGGAGTCCGCCCGGATCCCAGCCGTCACGGGAAGTTACAGCAAAAGTAGGCATGCGGTGAGGAAGAACGGTGCGCGTTGGTCGATGTCCGCGGCGCAAGCAATAATTAGAGCGGTTCAAATACGGGATACAATTTAAGTGCATTAAATCAGGTATACAGGGGTATACAAACGGCCGAGAGAATAACATGTGCGGGCTGCTCTACTGCACAGTGCAGACACTTGTTCAGCGCCTTAGCATGTAAAAAACTTCACTTGGTTCCCAAAACCTCACTCTGTACGCCAACTCGTAGGTTTTCCCACATTCGATTTGCAGCGCATTCTATGTGTGAACGCACAATGTCCCAATACAATATCGTAAGGCACATAGCATGCCATAAACCGCTATTGTAACAAAAAACATGTAGCAGAGCAGAGCAGAACAGAGCACATCACTTTGCTGGAACAAGAGCGTGTCCACAATTGCCGTATGGACTTACACGTTTGGAATGGTGCTCGTGATGTTTCCCGTCATTTGGAAAGCGTGATCAGCCATTGCAGTCGGCCTTTCGGTCTGCAGCCACACAAAATCAGCTCAGTCACGGCCACGCTATTGGTCCGGCAGCCAAACTCTCAAAGGTTAGCTGGGAAATCAGGTTGAGGTGTGAATTTAAAAAAAAGTCGTCGTAACCACCCCCTGCAAACATCACTATTCAGCTAAAGTCGACCTTTTACTGTGTTCTTCAGCCTCTTATCGTGCTCAACGGGTATATCGCGTTGTTGGCTACATCACCATGTCACCTCAACACGTGTCATGCACACGGAACGCAGACTAATGTCACCAGACCAACAACCATGGTGAGGCCTCGTGAACGAAGAGCGGTAACCTCGCCCATCAGCGGGATGTTGGCCTGCAGGGGCGACTCTCCGGAGCCGACAAGACTGACAGAGATGCTCGGACTTGTGGCTGTCTCCGGAATATAAAACGTCAGCCGAATAACGAGTTCTTCGTCCTTGGAGCTATTCAGTTTATATGCCATCTGCAAACAAATGCGCATGACATTACTCTGTTTCCATTGGAATATCTCACGATGGATCGAACGCGGCTTACATCCACATCCCTCGAATCTTGACTTATACTGGTTCCCAGAATTATCTGACACGCTAAATCTAGCTGCGCAATCTCCGGCTTGACTGTATACACAGCCACCGAGCTACATCCCTAGGCGTTTCGGCACATCGCACCAGGGCCCATTTCGGGAGGCGGGGGACCGAGGAAGGAAGAGCTCTTTAGAAAGGAAAGAGAAAAATCTCTTAAAAGGAAGGCACTTAAATGTAATACGATCATGAAAAAACGCCGGCTTGCTCACATGCCAGCCTTTCCGCACATAGCTGCGAATATTCATCTGGGACAGGATTGCCAATGTATACGAGACCAACGACTCGAAGCATATGAGTCGTGACGGTCGTGGCCCACAAATCAACAAAGTTCAAAGCCATTTGTAAATTTCATCTTGAGCGTGTGCAGTTGATCTTTAATGCCATTATAGAGCACATGCCGCTCCACTCAGCGACGATAACACGAGCCGCATCACTGGCCAATCGCATGGACAAGAACATGTACCGCTTCACTCACCAGGCCCGCGGCAGGTACGTGCTGCGCCACGCGCACAGCACCTGAAGAGCACGTGCCGTGCCACAGACCAGCTTGTGGAGAGCCCGTGGCGTACCACTCATCGGTATCGCACTCATCACCACATGTCTCATGTAACTCAACAGTGTCGTCGTGAGGACGTGCGCGCCTCTGAAAGGTCCCTGGAGAACGCGTGTGACAGCCCCCCAGTCTCCTGGAGAACACGTGCTGAAATGCTGAGCGGAGCAGAGCGGAAGCGCTGAGCATGAAGAACATCTGTCACTCTACTCACCAGTAGCGTGGAGAATACGAACCTTGCCGTTTACTTATTTCGCGGAGAAAACGTGCGGCACCGCTCACCAGTGTCGTGGAGAACACAAGCCGTGCCGTATACCACTTTTGTGGAGAAGACGTGCCACACCGCTCACCAGTGTCGTGGAGAACACAAGCCGTGCCGTATACCACTTTTGTGGAGAAGACGTGCCACACCGCTCATCAGTGTCGTGGAAAACACAAGCCGTGCCGTATACCACTTTTGTGGAGAAGACGTGCCACACCGCTCATCAGTGTCGTGGAGAACACAAGCCGTGCCGTATACCACTTTTGTGGAGAAGACGTGCCACACCGCTCATCAGCGTCGTGGAGAACACAAGCCGTGCCGTATATCACTTTTGTGGAGAAGACGTGCCACACCGCTCATCAGCGTCGTGGAGAACACAAGCCGTGCCGTATACCACTTTTGTGGAGAAGACGTGCCACACCGCTCATCAGCGTCGTGGAGAACACAAGCCGTGCCGTATACCATTTTTGTAGAGAAGACGTGCCGCGACACTCACTAGCCCCGTTGAGAACAGAGGCCCGGGCCTCAAGCAGGCTGTTGTTGGTGGGGAAGCGCCGGTAGCCAGTGTCGGGCGGCAGGTCGAACAGCGGCGAAACGCTGCGTCCGCTGGGGCCGGCTGAGGCACCGCACGGCTCCGCCTGTGCGCACATGGCCGCCGAGTCAACGTCCACCACCCGGTAATAGTACCAAGCTTCCCGTCATCCCTCCCCTCAGCGTCCACCGCCCGGTAACAGTACCAAGCTCCCCATCATCCCCTCCCCTCAGCGTCCACCACCCGGTAATAGTACCAAGCTCCCCGTCATCCCTCCCCTCAGCGTCCACCACCCGGTAACAGTATCACGCTCCCCACCATCCCTCCCCTCAGCGTCCACCGCCCGGTAATAGTACCAAGCTCCCCGTCATCCCTCCCCTCAGCGTCCACCACCCGGTAACAGTATCACGCTCCCCAACATCCCTCCCCTCAGCGTCCACCGCCTGGTAACGGCACCAAGCTCCCCATCATCCCTCCCCTCAGCGTCCACCGCCCGGTAATAGTACCAAGCTCCCCAACATCCCTCCCCTCATCGTCCACCGCCCGGTAATAGTACCAAGCTCCCCGTCATCCCTCCCCTCAGCGTCCACCGCCCGGTAACAGTATCACGCTCCCCATCATCCCCTCCCTCAGCGTCCACCGCCCGGTAATAGTACCAAGCTCCCCACCATCCCTCCCCTCAGCGTCCACCGCCAGGTAATAGTACCAAGCTCCCCGTCATCCCTCCCCTCAGCGTCCACCACCCGGTAATAGTACTAAGCTCCCCGTCATCCCTCCCCCCAGCGTCCACCGCCCGGTAATAGTACCAGGCTCCCCGTCATCCCTCCCCTCAGTGTCCACCGCCTGGTAACAGTACCAGGCTCCCCGCCATCCCTCCCCTCAGCGTCCACCGCCTGGTAACAGTACCAAACTCCCCGTCATCCTTCCCCTCAGCGCCCACCGCCTGGTAACAGCACCAAGCTCCCCATCATCCCCTCCCCTCAGCGTCCACCGCCGGGTAATAGTACCAAGCTCCCCGTCATCCCTCCCCTCAGCGTCCACCAGCCGGTAACAGTACCAAGCTCCCCAACATCCCTCCCCTCAGCGTCCACCGCCCGGTAACAGTACCAAGCTCCCCATCATCCCCTCCCCTCAGCGTCCACCACCTGGTAATAGTACCAAGCTCCCCGTCATCCCTCCCCTCAGCGTCCACCACCCGGTAACAGTACCAAGCTCCCCGTCACTCCCTCCCCTCAGCGTCCACCAGCCGGTAACAGTACAGTGCTCCCTGTCATCCCCTCCCCCTTAATCATTTCATCTGCTGCTCCCTGTACTAAGCGGGGATTATACATTCAATCCAAATTCATGCATTTTGATTCCGGAGTTTTTTTAACCACTTTTGCCTTCCAAAAGCCAAATAAGGTCAGTGCCATACAAACGCCATTGACGTTTTGCTTGCAAATGGTATCTAGATTAAAGGGAGAGTTCCACATTTTGATGGCGTTTTAACTGAAATAGCCATCTTAAAGGCTATTTGGTGCTGTTAACAACCCCACCTTTTTAAGACCTAAAACCATCTAGTTCCTGAGTTAAACGCCCGCAAAGATGAGGAGACTATTTCGGAAAGAGTATTTCAAGATCACCTTGTCATTCATGACGTCATAATAACGTCATTCTAATCCTGCTCTTTCATAAGACACGCGGGGTCAAGGCCAATACAAATATAATAGTCGAATCGCTCCTACCCGGCTTTCGTGAGAATGACAACCAGACTAACGGCCGTCAACCGCCTCCCAGTCAATGTTGCGCAAGGTATGATGTAATCAAACAGTCATGTACTGAGGAGCATATTCACTATATAGAGAAATGGTGTTATCCAAAACAGTCTTTTCGACCTAAACCAATAAAAAGTGGGCCAATAAAAAACAACAGCTGTAGTTAAGCTTGTCTCATCATATCTTACGCTTGCATCAATATCTTCAAATGTGAAACATTCCCTTTAAATCTGGATACGTCGGGAGATCTGAGGGTTGTTCGGACACCGACCTGCAGTGTGACCTTGTTTGACCTTATTTGACACAAATGCCACGACGTATGGATTTCAACATTAGCGATTTCACATAGAGGCCTACCTACCCTGTGAAATTGGTGTATCTCGCTCACTTAGCCTTTCAGACCTCGGTGTGGGGGGGAGGGTCTGATTGATTCTTCCCACAGTCCGGCGCGTCACATTTAGCCGGACACCCGGTCACGGTTTAAGACAGTCGAAGGCACATGTGATCGGCTTAAACCAGTCCTTTTCCCAGGTAATCCTGCGCCTGGAATCGATCCTGAGTTTTAAAGAGCTTCAATCAAAGGCAGCCTTCAAAGGCAAGGGATAGAATTCCCGCTACGGTGCTACAAACGGCAGGCACTGATAACCCGACAGTGCCAGTATCAGAAGTCAGAATAAACAGAACGGAAGGCACGCCCACCTCACCTGGGTAGCAGTGACGACCATGATTGGGTCGATGAAGGTCACAATCGGACTGGTGCTGACAAACGCCCCCGTTGTTTCGGCACTGGTTGCTGCTGTTCCTCCGTTTCCGTTTGCTTGTCTTTTATTACGGCCTGAGCCGCCATTACGTTGCGATTGCCCGCTTGATGCCTCATCGGAAAAATCACTCCCACCGTAATATGTGAATTCACTTGACCCTGTATAGTCTCCAATTCCGGCCCCTGATCCACTTCCATCTTCAAGTCCACTTCCGTACATATAGTCTCCGCCAATACTTTCATCAATTGCACTTGTTCCGGCATAGTTCCCACTTCCACTTTGGTATACAAGGTCCCCGCTTTGGTACACAAGGTCCCCGCTTTGGTACACAAGGTCCCCGCTTTGGTACACAAGGTCCCCGCTTTGGTACACAAGGTCCCCACTTTGCTGTTCGTAAAAGGTTGTCGCTTCCGTTGCTGCTGGTGGCGGCGTAGTCCTGCGAAGGAAAACAATTGTAGCGTACTAGCTGCTGGTGGTTTCGTATTCTTGCAGAGTAGAAGAGTAGCGGCACCCTTAATTATCTACCACCTCGCCTATGCTTATGAGCAGGGACATCTCAGAATTCCCTTATGAAGAGCAGACGTAACCCCAAACATTCAAAGCGTTACAGACAGCTTGGTGATACGAATGCGACACTTGGATCGCTATGGGCTTTGGTGTAGTTGAACCGTCACTTAGGTGGCCAGGTCGATGAACTGTGAGAAAATGTCACCTGCATGATCGGAGAAGAGCAGCGGTGGTATCTGGTACGACACGCAGCGCCACGATACGACTGATCGGAAGTAATCATATCCCCCTCCTTACTGGGGAAATGGCGTGATTTTGACTGCACTTGATGATAATTTGAGCCACGTGGCTATGTCCGAGGCCCGGACCCACCGCGCGTGACAGCCGCCACAAGCGGCAGACAGCTTCTCCGCCGCAGGATGGCGACATTCGTGACAGAAACATTGAAACATTAGGACAGCAATCACGGATGGAATGATAATTAGGGCTATCGTACTCGTCTGGTACGTTAAAATATTCAGCCATTAACTCTGGCCGTCGTCAGGAGTACTGGACTACAAAAATGGCTCGATGATGATTGGCTTTCAGCCAAGTATGTGTCACAGCCAAAATGAACTCTCTGGAATTACTGGGATTCGAGCCATAGCCTTCTGATTGCAATTCTAGCAGCCCACCAATGCACTAGGAGATCTGGGGGTTGTCCGGACACCGATAGGCTAACAGGGAAGGACATCATCATCTAGTCAGGGCTCAGGAGTCCGAAACACTTGACAACGGCCGGAAAGTGAACTGGCCCAAATGTTGGGTAAGTACCAACACAACATAACAGTAGCATAGCAGCAGTAGCAAAGGCTGCTACATTCGGGATACTAATAACTCGTCTCGGAGCTTCCGAAAAAAGCTATGACGGCAGTCATAACTGTTGTGCGGTGAAATATTATCTGGATCACTCCAAAATAGTCCAGAACATCGTCAAACGACTCCTATTAACAGCCGTTTTCGCGATGCATTAAGACATTGAATGAATCCTAAAAAGCTTTTCAAATGTCTCCACCAAGTTTAAGAATACACCTAACACTAACAAGGGCAATATTATTCTTACGCAATTCCAATGTAATGGACCAGGTAAGTCACATTTACCCGACTAAGAATAACTTCCAAATATTAACGAAGAGTCTTTATAGAACTTATTCAGCCCTGGGTTCACCCAAATCCTAGGAAAATACTAGGCCCGGCAATCGGCGATATGCCTTGGTCGAGAGCTTTAGATGCTGCCTGCCCAATCATTGCTTACATCGGTTTTGTGTGGAGCAAGGTAAGTTTTGAGGATATTTTCACTCGGACATTCACTTGGATTTTATTAAGGTATCTGGGTTCCGCAAGCTCTGTAAGTACTTAAACAAGCTCTGCAAAAACTGTGAGTAAGATCTGTAATTACCACATACGTATGAACAGGGGCCCTACAAGGGTATACGAATTTGCTCTATCTTGTCTGCGTCAGAGGCGCCACCCAATGTTTTAACTAAGTTACGAAAAGTGTCGGCGGGAAGAGATCTGGCATTATGCGTGTTAAAAGACAGACATCATATTGTGTTCAGCCGGCTAATCGCACTTTCATCAGATTATGCGTCTTTACAACCATGCTTTGAAATCTCTGCGAACGATTTCTAACCGAAGGTCACTAATTTAAGATGTGTGGTCAGAAAATAAGCTTGGAAAGTTTAAACGAAAGTCTTGCACCGCAGTCCTACGTGAAAATGACTGCTGTAATCGATGACACGCCAATCTCACGGATGACAAAAAACCTGCATTACAGTGTATGATATCAAATCGCATGATTTATGAACCACAGAATACACAGTCACACACATACAGACACACACACACACACACACACACACACACACACACACACACACACACACACACACACACACACACACACACACACACACACACACACACACACACGCACACACACACGCACACGCACAGGCACACGCTATATTACTGGCCATCAAATGACCATATTTTCTCCGCAGATCTTCCGAAGAGCAGTCATCATGCCACGTGCCAAGCTGCTGATGTTGCAGCCTTTCACCTCACTGTGAGCTACCCAAGAGGCGTGATGGCCAAGTGGTAGTGCCTGTGGCCCGAACGTGAGGGTCTGGGTTCGAATACCGGTTGCACCATGACCCCTGAGAGCTCATATAACCACTGCACTCACTGCACTCACTGGCCACGCCTAGAGCTGGCGAAGCACGTCAGCTTCACGTAAAAAAGTCCGTACCGAGCTCTCAACCCAGCCTCTCCTGCAGTTCAATGGCCAGCTGACTGTTCCCTCAACTGACCCGGTTGAGGCCCCATCTAATGCGCGGCGGCTCACCTCCTCTGGCCCACGACGGGCTGGAAGATCGGGAACCGGTAGGTGAGGTCAAAGGTCACGTGCGTGCCAGGCGCGACGTCTTGCGGCACGCCCGGCGGCTCACCTCCTCTGGCCCACGACGGGCTGGAAGATCGGGAACCGGTAGGTGAGGTCAAAAGTCACGTGCGTGCCAGGCGCGATGTCTTGCGGCACGCCCGGTGCCGGCGGCGTGATCTCCAGCTTCGGCTCGCTACTGTTGGGGGCCTGTGGCAAGTCAGGCCAGGTCAGGGCCGGCGATGTCGCCTGCAGTGTCGTCGCGCCGCTGCCGAGGCAGCGCAGGCCAGTTCAGGGGGGGGGGGGTCAGGTTAGGTCAGGTCAGCGCCGACCCCCTCACATCCATTTATCCATTATTAACATTTTGACGCTTTCGATGCAGATCCCATCATCTTGCCTGTCATAGTTGTAGATCATGCTTTGTCGAGGTCAGGCCGGCCGTATGCTGTGATAAGTGGCCGGATAAAATGGGCTCGTCATGACCGACTTGCTATAAAGGCTTCTTCAATATTCATTTGACAGCATAACACATGATGACACAAGTTTACGGAATATAATAAGGCCAGTTCAGTCGATATCATTAGGTACTTAAGCTATATGAAATGGAACCTGTTTTTTAAGTGTCCAGATGAAGTATGGTAGTATGTAGCATAGTATGTAGTATGACAGTATGTAGTATGTATTATAGTATGTAGTATGGCAATATTGAGGCAGTATGATAACTGTCATCAAGTGTTGTTCTTTATTCCGTGGTACCGTGCTTACTTTTAAAATGATGTAACGTGATTTCAAATAAACTATGGGGTTTGATATAATAAAATGGGGTTTGACTAGCGCCACCCGATTTGCCATTGCACGGGTCCCATCCACAAGAGCGCTGATGTGTAAGACTTAGATGCGATGTGTCAACACCTGTTGCACCACGTCTGCCACATCAAAGGTCAGTTGCACTGATGTATAATGACGATAAACGGATCATGTGTGTTTTTCATGTTCTTTAGGTTGTTTGATTTTCGAGATAGCGGACCTCGCTGCTTTCTTCATTTGGCAAATACGAAGAAACGTCCGCCAAGCGAGAAATAGGTAGCAATTTTAACATGGCAGCAATCGACAAACAGACCATAACTTTACCGAAAGTTAGCTTCTTTTGAAAAGATCCTACATGGTATCTTATGGGTCTCCTTAGTGGAAGAAATGCGACGTTGTGCCCACTGGCGAAGAAAGCATTCACTACAGCTAAACGTCATACAGCAGCAGGACAGGGCTCATGGTGGGCAACAGGCTAACCTCAGCCCCGACCCGCCATCTCTGAGGCAGGCTCAACTTCCAGCACATGCACCGGCTGCGCTTGTGTGCAGCCCTGAACAGCTACAAAGGTCACCTGCCTCCTTGTTAGTGGTTGGACCATTTGTGCTCTCTGTGCTCTCATGGGTAGAACGCCACAGATTGTTATGGGTGACAGGCGCTGATGCGGCGGTTTGCCGCACAACTGCAAGTCTGGGCGCACTAGCGCCGTCAGGTGTGCATTCTCGGCTTATCGACCAGTTGAAACGCCGAGCAGTTCTGAGGAGCCGGGCTGAGAACAGCATGCACCATAACTACCGAGCGAGCTCAACGCTTTTCGCTACTTGTGACAAAAGGGACGCAAGAAGGAATGCAGGGTTCGAAGGCATAATTTCATCGTATGCATGTGACTTAAACTCACAGAACAAGGGGAAAATTTCTCAAAGTTAATTATGATAAACAGCAAACCAAATCTTTACTGATATTTAGAGTCTAGTAATCCAAGAGACCACGCATTAATGCACGCCAAAAACAAACACGAGCCGTGCAGTCCTTGGTGGGCACGTTGACTTCTGCGCATGAAGGTGCGCTACGTTTGCGCTGCGCCCACCGCCGGGTAGATGGCGCTCAGATCGCCGTCGGTGAGCGTGAAGACCAGGTCCTGGCTGAGCTTCTCTTGATCTCTCAGCAGCACCTTCACGTTGAGCGTGAAAGTGTCACCCGGAAACCCATTGGTGAATACGCCAAAGCCTAATGTGATCTGGTCATTGACTTCTGCCGTACGCGGCTGCTCGCCTGTGGACAAAAAGACAGATATGCTGTCTTCATGAGGCATGGTTCGATGTCACTGCCCCAGATGGATGTGAACGTACCAGCTGATAAAAAAGCGCTGCTGTTCTTCAGTTAAGGATTCCAGTGAAATGAATATGAGACGGCATTATACCCTTGTTATGCAAGCACAATCACATGAATACCACAAAACAGTCTAGTCGGATGGGTTCGGGTCATTTGCAGAACTTGACCTTACAGTTGTCATTTACTATAAGGTGCGTTAACTTGGGTAATTTCTTGGGTCTGAGTCATCGCTAGGCAATATATTAATTGTCAATAGTGACCGATCCCGCCTCTCCAATCGCTCGCACTTAATGGAAATACTCCACATTTATAGATATTGAAGCACCCATCAAATATGATGGAATAAGCTCACTTAAAATTATTGGTTTTCTCTTAAGTGGAAAAGGCTGCTCTAGACAACACTGCCTATGTTTAGTGAATATGTTCCTCAATACGGTATTGTCTGATAACGTCATCGTACTATGACAAAACTGAACAAAACAAAACAAAACAAAACTGACTGAGAACCGAGTGACAGCCTAATATGTGGAAATCGTGCTCACAAACTCCAGATATAAACCACTCGGCAATTACATGTTTCTTAGCCTTGATCGTTGCATCGCCAATACAACTGCAAAATGTAAATGACGTTGCTATGGCGCCAGAATGCCGGGCGACCCTACAAAAGTCTCCCCGAAATAGTCCGCACATATTCGCGAGCATTTAGCTCAGAAACTACATCGGTTTGGTTCTTAAGAACGGCCGGGCTGTGGATTGTACCGAATGATCTTCAAGATGACTATTTCAGTTCAAAACTCCATACAAATGTGGGACACTCTCATAAATGCTGTACATATAACCAGGATGTTGTATAAACAAGGCGCTGCTGAAAGGCGTTATCATGTCATGCAACATATGATGCGGCCTCCATTTCTAAGTATGATACGGCAGGCTTCCACTGGGATTAAAGCTTACATCGGCTGCCATTCGTCTGCTGCAAATCCAAGGCGTAAGGCTTAAACTCCTTCGACTGGTGGGGAAGAGCTCAGCGGACCAGCATGGGTCTGAATCCGATCGAGAATGCATGCCTTGCTCTCTTAAGCCCGAGTCCAAGTCCTGACTCCAAGCAACTGCATTTCGAAGCCAAGCCAGGGCTATTCAATACGAGGACTGGGGGTGGGACTGTCAAGCTTCACCACAGAAATGCATCTAACTCAAAACCTGGTTTCTAGGACCTGGGGTCGGAGTTCGAGACTCTCTGTTCCAAACCCTTTTCCGTGTGGGCATTCGCTATCAAAATGCAATGTTTTAGTCACGGTCAACGTTTTCCACTCATGTGTTGGCTGTGACTGTCAATAAATGACAAACGACTAAAACTAGCATGAAGTTAACCCAAGAAATATAGTATTAGTTCACGCGGTGAGTTCCACTACATTTGATATCAAACGCCATTGAGTCGCTATTCAGTTTTTAGTCTGCGTCTCAGTTCATTACCAGTTTTAGGATACCTTAGTCTGCGTCTGATTCACGATCTTCATTTGGGGCTGCATATGGATAGGAGCCCGTGTCGACTGATGTTCTGGAGAAAACGTTGCCAACGTTCCGGAAATTGACGCGTTTTTGTCAGCTCGTTTGCGGAATAAGTCTGTGCTCTCGACTTCACGTCCAGAGTGGTCGGGAAACAAAGTTTTAAACCTAAACCTACCAACTGCCACTGATCTTGAATAACGGAACAGTAATCAACGAAAAGTATATGATGCATTTGGATATACTGTGCATTGTGACCTGAATTGATCTGAACACAATTTAGTCCACGTACCGCCACAGTTCAGCAGTTCGCCAAAGCTTCTCTGGGCAGAGAGCCGGGACTTGCCACTCCCCGAAGTGGTGAACACCGTCGTGTCATTGACGTCATACACGAAGGCGCCGCATTCCCAGAAGTTGTAGCCGATCTGCTGCGCCTCGATGCTCGACAGTGTGAAGATATCTTCCCGCTCCGAGGTGCCCGTGACCTGGCGCGCGAGGCAGGCGAACAATAAAGGTCAGCTTGTGGAACTGCTGTCATGGCGTGCGCTCAGAGAAAATGCGTCGAGGTATTGATAGTGTGCTCTCAGCTATTTAAGTACGACGTTTTAGAAAAAAAACTTAGTCCAAAGTGCTGATTGTTTGCCAGTCGCATGAAGACCAGCTTGCTTTGTCTTATTCCTCGGTGATGGACATGACTGATGTCGATGGAGGTTAAAGCATCGGCATTGGTGTATGTATGTTTTAAACATGTCTGAGTATGTTTTAACAGTGTTGTGTAGACGTGTTTAGGCCAGTAAGAATATATGTCATGAAACTAACACCTTTTTCAAGCGTTATGGTGCTTCCCTCTAGAATGAACACGTTTCGTGAAGCATATTGCGTCATGCAAGTACCCTGATAAAAGCCTTGCAACTCGAGCCGTTAAAAAATAATGAATGTTAAGTAATATGGATGCAAAACTATCGTATTGACTGCTCCATATAATCTCAGTATGCAATAATTGAATACCATCCACTCTTTTTAACATGTTGTCATTTTGATATTCTTAGGTATCTTAAGGTCGTTGTGAAGCGAGATCAGTTCCGCAAAATAAAGGTTGTTAAAGGGAGTGTTCCACATTTGAAAAAATTGAAGCAAGCATCAGATATGAGGAAATATGTTTACTTATCACAACTGGTATAATTCTAAGCAGAAGGACACTGCTCTGAGCAACACAATTTCTCTGTTTAGTAAATGCTCCTCAATGCGCCATTGTTTGGTTTCTCTATCGTATTCGTATATATATATATATATATATATATATATATATATATATATATATATATCGTATTACACAACATTGATTACAAGCCAATTAACGGCCGTTATGTCGGAAAAACGTGCTCACGAACGCCAGATATGAAGGACTCGACAATAACATATTTTAGCCTCGATCACCGCATGACCAATGGAGTAGCACGATTTGAATGACGCTATTATGTCGTCTGGGTGACCTTGAAATGGTCTCGCCGAAATAGTCCGCCTTATCTTCACGGACGTATAGCTCAGACACTAGAGGGGTTCGGCCTTGAGAAGGGCACGGCTATGAACTGCACCGAACGATCTTCAAGATGACTCTTTCCATTCAAAACCCCAAACAAATGTGAAACACTCTCTTTAAGCCCCCACATGTGCGAACTGCGGCATGAGACATTGATGAAAGCTACCCAGAATGTAAGCATTGAAACACAATGTTCAAAATAGCCTCACACGGCAGGAAAATCAGAACGCATCCGTCATTTTTTTGTACATGGACACTGGCAAGACGTTAAACTTCATTTTAAGGCCCGGAAGTGAAATAAGGGACCATTTGCGCACCACGGCGGTGCCCTACCTCGAGGCGCAGGGCGTCGAACGGGTTGGTGTAGGCGAGTACCACGTCCACCCTGTCGGCTCCCCTCATGGGGATGGCACCAGCTGAGGTGGCCGTCGTCTCCACACTGGACAGGAAGTCAAATGCCACCTGTCGATGAACGAGCGGTGGTGCACATCAGTCACGTGTTTGGCGTCTGGTCAGGGCACGCCGGGGCACCCCTGCCGACGAGCAGTGGTGCAGCACCAGTCACGTGCTTGGGTCTGGTCAGGCACGCCGGGGGCACCCTGCCGACGAGCAGTGGTGCAGCACCAGTCACGTGCTTGGTGTCTAGTCAGGGGCACGCCGGGGCACCCCTGCCGACGAGCTGTGGTGCAGCACCAGTCACGTGCTTGGGTCTAGTCGGGGCATGCCGGGGGCACCCCTGCCGACGAGCTGTGGTGCAGCACCAGTCACGTGCTTGGCGTCTGGTCAGAGGCACGGCGGGGAGCACCCCTGCCGACGAGCAGTGGTGCAGCACCAGTCACGTGCTTGGCGTCTGGTCAGGGGCACGCCGGGGGCACCCCTGCCGACGAGCAGTGGTGCAGCACCAGTCACGTGCTTGGTGTCTAGTCAGGGGCACGCCGGGGGCACCCCTGCCGACGAGCTGTGGTGCAGCACCAGTCACGCGCTTGGCGTCTGGTCAGGGGCACGCCGGGGGCACCCCTGCCGACGAGCAGTGGTGCAGCACCAGTCACGCGCTTGGCGTCTGGTCAGGGGCACGCCGGGGAGCGTCGGCATCAGCGCGACACAAAGATACACGTTCGGAACAGTAATGCGAATACCTGCTTACTGCATGTGAAGGATCGGCTGGCGCATCCCGAACCAGATGTGATAGCTCAGAACTGCCCGGTGTCATCAATCGACGCCAATCGATACTTTGCATGACCTGCGCCTTCACGGCAATGAAGCGGACGTGGAACTGCCGTCCGCGTAAAGTGAACTGCGCTATGTAACGCACACCGTACCTCGTGCAGTACAATGCAACATACGCTGCACATGTGCATGTACATCTGCTGCATACGCATACACGGTATGAGGGCTGCAAACGATTGACGCAGACCGCCAGAATTGTGTACTTACGTCGTCTTGCATGCAGACGTAGTTCCCTTGGCCAGCCCAGCCGAAGAGGTTTCCACCGTAGGTCACGGCCACTGACAGCGGGTAGGTGCTGCCCGAAGAGGTATAGCTCGACCTGCCGGTCGGAGGTCACATCCGTGCTGATTGTGACTGGTGGTGGTGGTGGAAACGCATCCATGAACTCCATAACGTCCAGCGCAAAGCTCAGATGGATGTAAGCCGTCACTGGGGCAAAACGTGTTCAGAAACACGCCGTTTGTCGTTACGAAATTGGTGTAAGCAAGTGCTTGCAGGCTTGCCTCGCTGTGCAACGCAGGTTCCACGAACAGTTTGTGTTTGCATTATTTCGGGATGCATTCAATACCCTTCATGGGATTCCCTGACCCACCCGACCTCTCACTGCCAGGGTGCCTAGCGGGAACTGGGCGGGATATGCTAACTATCAGGTACGTAGGCGGGCCATTAGCAAACCGACCATCGGCAGGCCGGTGTTTCGTGCAGCATCATGGGTTAAATCGATTGCAAGCATCACGGAAGTCGGTGGGTAGCAGTCCAGTCTTCCCTCGCCTTCTTCATACATGTACCTAACCAAGTGCATAAAGAGCTCCACTTGGTCCGCTTTTTTTAAAAGATCAATCGTAAGCCCGGGGGAGTGCATTAATTCGAACCTGAGATAAACGTTCCCCAACCGCTCACCGATTTGGCGCCACCTAGTCACGCGTCGATTGTGATGAGGCACAAGGGAACCGCACTTGAAAACCGCACTTGCGATCACTGCAAGATCTCCCTAATTTCACTTCTGCCACTTGTCAACGCTACTGCAATGTTTATGTGTTGTCACACTAGGCCAGCAAAGCCAATGAGAGTGCCATTTTACCATAGCACTGAACGTCGCTCAAAACTGCATTTCTTGGGTCCTCTCATTGCAATCATTGCGAATTATTCGTCACTCGATTCGTGTGGTTTCTCTGACACTTCTCAAAGCGAGGAGTTCGGGAAATGCAATGGACCGTTACCATGACTCACCTTTCTCGCTACAAAGAATGATTGAATGCATGACGGCTGCCGGACGCCCGCAGCAGACGGCGCGTGCGCGTTTCGTCGTTTTACTTGGAATGCTTGCCGCCGGCGATTGGGCGACCACCCGGCGACATTTTGGCGACGCAAAAATGTGGAGCTGCTACCGTTTAAGTTAAGTTTATGTATGGACAGAACAGTGCACATAATTACATATAAATGGGCGGAAAATGCAGGCAATGAATCGGTGCACGCGGTGCCATAAATTTTGCCACAGCTCTCACTGTAGTTTCCATGCAGCACACATCGGTCGTGTGAAAATTTCGGCTAAAAATTCCCGAACATTTAATCCGCACGTGACCCCAAAAAATCGGTGGCGTGCAAGCACTCACACACACATGCAGACACACAGACACACACACACACAGACACACACACACACACACGCACACACACACACACACACACACACACACACACACACACACACACACACACACACGCACACACACCACACACACACACACACACACACACACACACACACACACACACACACACACACACACACACACACACCTGCACTTTTAGTAACACAGGGAAGACAAGGGAATACAATGCCCCGGCTCACCTGAGCAGGACGGCGTTCAGTTCCAATGTTATCGCCCTTCTTTGGGTTGCAGTTGCGCCTTCAAGACGGAAGCTCGCAGAGTTGTACTAAAACAGCAGCAGCAGGGCATGGTCAGTACCGTCTTGCAAACTTTAACACGGCGCATATGTTTTAGCAAAGTATTCACAAGCTATTGCTTTACGCCAGGCATGTTTGGAATTTAGCAGGAATCTCGATATGAATAGGTAGGTTGTATGGAATAACATGAGGAGTCAAAAGTATGCCATCAATGCATTGCCAATGAACTCATGTCAGTGATAAATATTCAGAGGAAGGGAGGCGCATTGCGTATATCGCATTACCAATGACTTCACCAGTGGTAAGGCCATTTCAAGTCCAGTTCTCGTTTCCGAAAGCCTCTGGTAAATAAAATATTTAAGCATATGCCTGTAAAACTACAGACATACGTTTGCTCTATGGGGTTCAATACATTTGTACAACAGAACTGACTTGAAGCATCTTTTTATTCAAGCCACGAATATCTACAATCGAAAATATTCACCAAACAGAACCGGGTCTAATGTTTGCAAAAGAACCAGTGAGAAACCAGAAACAACGGCTCAGTGTCTGCAAAGAACAGTCGGAATCTAAGACCTAGGATATGGAGGTGACGACAGAGCCAGTCGGAAGCAAGATCGAGAGTCTGGTTTTTGCGCCTGAGCTGAGCCAGAGCCATGCCCACTGCCGGGGCTCGCCGTCGCGCCCGCACTGCCTGCCACCGCACTCACTATGTTCGCGTCAAACTCGACGCTGCGGTTCAGCTGTTCGGTGACCTGAGAGACGCTCACACTGTCGCCCCATAGCAGGCGAGGACCATACAGCGCATAGCGCGTCCGAGGCGTACCGCGCACGTCGTACCCGAACACGTCGACCTGAGGACGAGGCGCGCGCCACACGCCGTCAGAAGTATCGCAAGCAGCGGCAGCTCGAAAAAGCACGTGCAGTCGCGCCACGGATCGGAAATTCGACGCATCGGCCTCGACGTGTTGCTGGGTCCCAGACTCTCAGCCTCATCCCGTCCGGAGGATGGCAGCACAGCATATTTCACCATACGGCCTGTATTTCTCACGCTTGGCTCCTCATCCACGAGAGTTACATCAGCAGGACGAACTGAGGCCATGGATGGTGTAGTTGCTCTGGTTGTTGCATGGTCTGGTGCGTTGGTACCAGACCAGGACGATAGTCCCAACGGTTAGTCCAACCGTGATAATAAGACCTCGTGTCAATCGTCTGGCACAACGATTGCTGTGTTCTCGTTACCAGAGTCGGTGCCTTCATTCGCTTAGAACGGGTCCTTGGCATTGCTGTTACACGAGTAGCCCGAGAACGTTTGAATTGGACAGTTCACTTGAAAGGTTGGCGTGCGGAGATGCACACACACACACACACACACACACACACACACACACACACACACACACACACACACACACACACACACACACACACACACACACACACACACACACACACACACACACACACACACACACACACACACACACACACACACACACACACACACACACACACACACACACACACACACACACACACACACACACACCACACACACACACACACACACACACACACACACACACACACACACACACACACACACATACACACACACACACACACACACACACACACACACACACACATACACACACATGCACATATACACACATATGAAGTAACAGTCGGGGAATTGTTACAGAAATAACTGAGCGTCTCCGACAATAAGACGTCACTTCGCGACGCTCATAAGAACATATTTTCATAGACTTGTGTTGCTGGTGTGACTCTTTTCCATATTCAGGGGATTTTGAGCCAGTAGCAAGACCGGCAGCAAGATGACCATTAGTGAATGAAAACCAAATTGAAGTGAATTCATGATTCTAAAAGAAAGCATCTTGTATCACCAGAGGCATCTAAAACCTAACAATGTCATTCGCCAAAAGAAAAGACGGGCCAATGACCTCAGAAGATCCTTTCACAAAATCTGGGCCGGATTCGAGTCCCGGGATGTCTGCAATACAATACAGATGACAGAATATGCAATGCAGATGGCGTGATCCGTTTGGAGAGGCGGCGCGCGTGTCCGGGTGACGTCACGCTGGGCATCGGCGGGGCACCGTTACATGCGCAGATGGGCTGCAACTGAAGGCTGCAACGGCAATGAATGCACTCATACGTATTGAGCAAGTATCCCTGCTCTTCAGTAATCAGTCTCGTCTTTTCTGGTGCATTACACGGTTGTCCTGCCACAGAGAGCAGAGCTACCGCTCTTTTTCACCATTGTGGTAGAGTTTGCAGTGTGGCTAGACCCATCCCTGCACCGATCCGTCCCAAAACGACCCGCACCTGGAAGTCAGTAGGAGTGACGGATTTGAAATTTGGTAAACTCATTTTTAGCTTCAGCAGGAAGGGCACCCCCGGGTACACGGTGGTGTCCGGCGGATCCTTTGTCAGCTCGAAATGTATCTTGGCGTAAATCTCTTCTGGGTCGGGCGCCGGCTGCAACAGAGAAGACCATTGTGCTGAAGTTAAGTAGTAGCAAACATTCCTTCTCACATGGCCCGATGACTAACGCAGGCAGGGCGAAAGCTCATTACTCTGCTCCCGACTTTACTTTCGGACTCACTAATTATCACTGGATGGGAAGAGCTCATTACTTTTGACAGAGAATTAGTTATCTCTTAGCAAGGCGAGAGAAATCCAGCGCACAGCATGCCTGCCATACTCGATCATCACAGCACAGATCGCTCTAAAACCATGGCCATGCGAATTAGAACCGTACACTGCTCCAAGGTTGTCACGGTTTCAGAAAATATACTGGTCCGTATTGGGAGACAGCTTCATGGTATACATACATGAATATATGTATATATGCATATATGTATATTGTTATGTGCATACCTATATATATATATATGTATATATATATATATATATATATATATATATATATATATATATATATACACTGCTGTTGCTTCTGAACTTGTATATTAATGGAAGAAACGCTCACATTCTAAACGCCTAACAAGCACCATAATGGTATGAACAAACACCATCGTATTAGTATTTCGGTATTTCGAGATTACTCGTCTGCATGATGTCTGTCTGTGTGCATTGGCCATATCCGCCTATGTCCTGGAGGGTAAAAGGGAAAATCATAAGCTAACAGACCGATGTTAAACGGAATGTTCCACAGTTGTACAGAGCTTTTAACTGAAACTGTCATGTTGAAGACTATTCGGTGCAGTTCACACCCCGTTCTTCTGAAAGCCTGAAACGTTCTAGTTTCTGGGCTAGACGGCTGCAAAGATGTGCAGACTATTCGGGAGACTATTTCAAGTTCACCCAAACATCCATTACGCTAAATTAGCGTAATTCAAGTCATGCCACTCCATTGGCAATGCAGCGATCAAGGCCAATGAAAATATCATAGTCGACTATTGTGTTAGTAGCATATATTAATTATAAATGCAAATAATGTATCATTGTCGACTGCTTGTATTAGTGAACCATCCGAATGAGTCGACATACGAAGTTGAAGGAAGGCCCTCTCTACCAACATTCTGGCAACATTAACCGTTTGGATAAGTTCTTTCGGTCCAAAGATCTCATTTATAACTAGATTCATGCAGGCCAGGTGGTAATGAGAATGTGAACGGAGTCTGAGACAGGCTAACCTCGATGGGGCCCTTGTGGCCCTTTGTTGGAAAGGTATCTTTATGCCCTTTATGTCCCTATGCATCGAGCAGCATATTTGCTAAGCAGAGGAACTATGTTGTCTTGGGCAGCCTCTTCCACCCAAAGGTATGTCAATAGTTATAAGTTAGCTTATGTCATCATATCTGATGCTTACTTCAATATCTTCAACTGCGGAACATTCCCATTAAGGCCAAGGAGTTGTGTGACATATCTATCTTCCTCTGTTACCTATGCAAAACAGCCGAACCTTTGCCAAAGTATCGTGGTTGTTCAAATTCGGCTTTGCTATTAGCACGGCATCTCCGTGAAGAGGAGCAGCAAATGAAACAAGTCGGCGCTGGATCCCGGGGTCGGGGAAGCCCGGAGCTTCCGCCCTCCGTCGAGTAATTGTGCACCACTCACCTCCGTCTCCGTCTCGTGGGAAGACAGCGCTCCGCCTGAAAAGGGGAATGTGTGCTGTAACTCCTACACTCGACTGATAATGCTTACATAGGTGTCATATCAAGGATGATTCCCACTGATATCCGCTCCGTGTTTGTGACACACACGCTGACGTCATCACATTGAAAGCATCCAGCCATCGAGCGCTTAGTGGCAGACCCGCCAAATGCATGTGTGTTGTGGAAGTATGCAACGAAAGTTTGAAAAGCTCTGTTTTGAGACCAGTTGGCACATGTGTGCAAACGTTCCGGATCGCTCGTCGCAACGTTCCGACATGAACGCCGCCGGCCAGTGATCTCTGTTCTGTGGGGTGAACTATCAACACGACAGTAAGCTATTCATGTCCTGACATGTCATGCCGTGATTTGTGAGGACCCGCAAGACGGCACTGTATCCACCAAGCTCTGCTAGATGTACTGGTGACAGCTTTTGGGATGATTTTGTGGATGTTCTTTATTTCAGCACCCCAAGGCATAAACTGATGCCTTTGGACTTTCAGCGTGCTTGTTTAGAAGCAATGAGAGATATGCCGAAGTGCGTATGTTCTAGAAAACCGAGAGTAGTTCAATAATGAACGATTTAATCTTTGAGTCTGCTGGAGACGTTTGAGCTCCTTTCAGGTTGCAAGTGATCATCGGGTTTTCGGATGACAGGTCACCAGTGGTTGAGTGATTCACAAATCAATCTTAGCTTTCTCTGCGCTCAACTGTTTCATCTCACCTACCATTCGCGCAAGGTGTCTCTGTTTTTCGTCTTTTTCGGTGAGCCCGTCTGCAGGTCAAACGAATAGATACTGGGCTGAAAGTTGCACGCGATGCACGTGCCCACAATACAGCATTCTACGTTTGACTCATGAGCCGGTGTTGTCCAACGTTTCGGCGTGGCACGTGCCGAAAAAGCCGTTTTTAGGCCCGTTGGAGTTGCATTGTGAACGTCTGGAAATGTGACTTGCGGGAAACGGGAGCGCAGCCGATCGGCATCGTGGCCACATCGCGACAACAAACGGTCGGAGCGACTCAAAATTGGCACCGTTCGAAAGATAGCTGAGCGAGGTATCGTGTTGCGTCACACGTGTGATAGCACAAGTCAGGTGTTACGTACACGAAAACCATCAAGACAGATTTGAACGTTTGTGACAGTTTTTTACATTTTATGGTACAACTCGATGGGTATGATGGGCATGATGGGTATGGTTCAACTAGCTCTGTCCCACTGCATAACTTTTTAAGTAGAGCGTCGGAAATCGGACGTGCTGTGTGTGAGCCGGCGTCCAGAGGTAGTCTATTCAGCTTTTTTCATTCATTAGTGTAGGCAAAACAGGTGTCACATAGTGAGAACAAAAATGCATTTCTCTGCGAGAAAAAACTGCGCACATCGACTTCTTAATGGGTGGCGAAATGTTTATAAATATTTCATACAATCCAATTCGGAGTTGCAACAGAATGCGACAGAAACGTCGTAAAAACGATGATGGCAGGAAGGAGGAAGTCAATGCGACCCCTTCCCTGCCGTTTCCAAGCTAAGAAAGGTAGTGCCTTGTGGAAAAGCAATACTGAATATGTCCAAAAAATCTTACAATTATCAATAAGCAACATGCTGCCAAGTCCATATCGACCCTTCACAGAAAGACCAGGGCTTAAATGCTCTTCAAAATAACAATTTTTGAACATAACCTTATTTTTTTAACTTAAAGCACCCTTATGTATGAAATCATGCCCCATAGAGAGACGATAGCAAAGCATGCATAATTAATGCCCCGAAAGATGCCGAAAGTTTGCGTGCAATTGTACGACATGCCGGAGAGGCATACTGCGAAAACCTTAGTGGGGCCGTGTGCCAAACCGATCGTTGTCTGGAAGCGCTGGGTGTTGCGCGCGGTCTGCCGGCCTCGGACCTCAAGCGTATCCACGAGACCCTTGTGAACTCAAAATCAGGTCAGCAGCTGCTGCAGACGCGCCTCCCGGTCAGATCCCTACCGATTCTCCTAAAATGCAGGGGCTGATGCAACCATGATATGGCAAATTAACAGCCTGGCTCCGCACCGGAGACTGGTTGGTACCAGTTGAAGTCATGGGAACGAAACTACTGACTTCCTGACTAGCAAAGGGGTAGCTATTTGTTATTTATTATACCTGGCCCCTTATTTATTTACCAAGTTAGTTGTCACGTATGCTTTTTGGTGCGTGAAGCGAATCTTAGCCGAACAAAATTGCGAAAAACACACCTCTGGAGAGCATTGGAAAGACACTGTGACACTACTGATCTGTAAAGTCAACAAATATGTAGTATAGTCTGTGGTGCCTTTCTGTCACCTGTTAAAAGCTATCCTGACTAAAGTTATTATGCTTCAAAGTGATGTGTGGCTCAGTTTCGCCAGGGCAAGAGCAAGAGAATGAGCAAATTCTTGCTCATACAGCAAAACGTCAATGATTCGGCAGACGCTCTGCACTAGCTCACGCTGTAAGCATTAGCGGACACAGACAAACACTAAGCTTTGAGTTTGGTCCGACTAGGATGGTCTGTTGTAATTTGTTCCAGTTTTGCAATAACTTTTCACCGATAAGCCCGCGAAAGTGTTCACGTTTGTCACCGATCATAGCCGGTGAATCATAATATTTGTCACCGCCTGTCCAGCGTCACGTACAGGCGGATCAGCGGGTGGCTGAACGCTGGAATTTGAACACGACGCGAGCGTGCAGGAGGCGGCTTTCAACGGGTAAACCGCGAGCCGCTACAGTCCAGGGTTCGGACACGCGACAAAAGGGTTGTTTTGGGCCCATCAGTTTTGCACGGGCGGCCCAAAAATGTGACCGACAACAAAGCCGACGAGGATCCGTTCGAAGCCGCGGCCACATATCGGCAACCAGAGGTCGGAGCAACAAGGACTTGACACGCTTGGGTGTCAAGTTCTTGTTTCGAACAATTGAACGGGGAATCATGTGGTGCCAGATGCCGAGAAGCACTTGCCACTTGTCACGTACACAGAGGTGTCAAGGATAGATGTGCAGTTTTGTAAGTTTTCACGTTTTATATCACAGCTCATCAGCCAGAGCGGGAAGAGACGCGAATCCAATTTCAGAGCGTTGACGAACGTACCGTCTGCAATTTATGTGACCAACACGAGTTTGGACGTAGTACGAAGGCACTGAAAATCCGCGAGAAACCCGGAGATGTCGGCATTTTGAAGAAAAAAAAACACCACCCTCCTATGTCTTTGGTGGTCAGCACATCACAACCGTTTCCTCCCA